TAACGCGAGAATACCACCACTACGTTTTGTTCGTCGTTTAACGTACGAAAACAATCGCTTCGGACAAGTACGACTATCATATGCAAACTGTCGTTCGTAAGTGGTACGGGATTTAGCTATGGTCGTTTTACATATATTCCGAATTTTTTCATATTCACACTTAAATGATGCTTGTCCTGTTGACAAGAATAAGTCTCCAAAGTGTTTCCCACACCTCAACAACTTCCGCGTTTCCTTATCAATACACGGAGGGAAATGTGATAGCTTACGTGTTGATCATGGGATAAACGGTTGTTACGGACTCGAATTCAGCCTTGAACTTATTCCATTCGTCTTCGACCGATCCATCAGCATCGACCGACCTGTCAATTGAGATAGCACAGTCTCTGACAGACGGAATATTAGCTCTTTAGACATTAGGGCGGAGTGGGACAGACGCAAATTCTATACCATGCGTCTGGAACTCAAAGAAAAGTACAACATGGCCACTACCCACTAGTGAGGAAGGTGTTGAAAGTCGATGACATCTTTACAATGGTGTGTGAGGACAAGGTCTGGCAATAACGGATCATGTCCCAAGTCAATATAAGTCGGTTTCACGATACATCGTACAAGTGCACATTGAATAATTGTTGATAAAAGGTGGCTATCGAAACCCCCACCTCATGCTGTGAGCTCTATCCAGTTGGTATGTCATGCGTTGAAGTCTCCAATGATGAGACAACATTTTGCCTAAGTTCAAGAACAGATGTGTGTTATGAAAAAGTCGTAAGCGAGACAACATGGACTACGATATATCCCTCCTATAGTCACTAATGCGTTTCTAGACCTAGTTGTTCAGCATGCTACCTCACATGTACCACTAACATGAGCCTTCTATATGATCGATTATATGCGAAAGTTGTCCGTAACATATAACATTATGCATCCGCTCTTGTGACCTATAACTCTATCATTTCTGATACAGATGTAACCTGAAGTCATGGTAGAACAGTTTATATCTACAATGAGCCAAGTTTCTGTGAAAACAATTATATCGGGCTTTACTTCATCCACCAACAAACTTAGGTCGGATATTTTCCTTCGAAGGCTACGGGCATTTGTGTAGCACACATTTAAGGTGTTTTTGGAATCATGCGTTCTGCCCATACAGGTCTTGGGAGCCAATGCTTCCGAGACCTGTCTACCCGAAAACCCTTAATCGTAAGGTTCGTTCCGCCGTTTAGCTTTCAAATTGTTAACTCTGTAAGAGCATTCTTCCACTTGATCCGATCCTCAAGCGGCCAATCTGTTGGAATACAAATATTTGAATCACGAGTTTTGCGTGCTTTATTTGATGTTACGTGTCTTTCCTTCTTTGTTGGGTCTCGCCTCCAACCCACTTACCGAGTCAGATTACTTTCATGATAATTACGCCTGAAACCTCTTCAGGCAGTACATTTCTAATGACAGATCCTATGAACTACAGATTGTGTGTGTGTCTTTAAACAGGGTCATTGTCTTTCGACTTTTCTAGATTCCAAATAATTAGACTAGGAACGTATTTAACTTCTTTAAAAATTGTGTTCACGGTTCACGACTGTGATGTCAGATTCTGCTGGTATCTCACCGTTAGCTTTCCTTGTAACGGTGTCGTGTAAGTTGAGCGAATTCCTTACAACAATGTTTGATGGGACCAACGTTTCCGATCTTCTAAGAGCTAAATATTGTCTTACTTTCGGACTTTAGTGGAGTAATCTGACAAGTAGATTGTCAGTCCAACAAGGACTTTTCAACTAAACGGGTACTTTCTGTTGCTATTTTTCATTCTCTACTACGTTTGCGCGTAATCCATTTCCCATCAGTCGCAGCATCCAGATTGGAACTACTCGGGACGATAATCGTTCTACCCAGATCATCAGTCGCTGCTGTAGCAATTTTGCCATCAATATCTAATGGTGTATCACTCATTAATTGTTTCGGGGTAGAAAGCTCTCTTTCGTGTTGCACAGTTGAGTGTCTGGCACTAGCCGTGACAGCACTTACGACACTGACTCATTCTTCGTTATCACTACCCATGTTACCGGTACAGCCCTCGTCAACCATTTTGTTAGCAAATGCCACAAGGCTGATCACTTCTTGAATGAGTAATGTTTTGCTCGAACAACAAAACGTACAGAGCCAATGAGATTTAGGCTTTGGGCACCTTTTATAGGCAGTAGGACTTAAGCGAGTTCACATTTTATGGAACCACTTCTTACACTCATCACATTGCATTCCTTCTTCTACAGGGAATAAGCAGTATGGCTGTCCAAACTTGTAAGCAGAGCCGACCATCTTAAAAATTAACTAAAATGGTAGACAAAATGGATATGTAAGACAAATCTCAAACCTTGATCAAATAAATCAAGCCAAAGTCGATCAAGTATGCTTGGATGCAGTAAATACACAAAATTAAGATGAAAACACACAAGTGCAATATCACTTTAACTGAAATAAATTCAATTAAAGTGTAAACAGCAGTTTTGATGCGCAATTTACTATCAAAACAGTGAACTTAACGAGAAACCACTTTCCTTTTTAAATAGCGCGCTGTTGATATTAGGTGGATCAGTATATCATTAGGAAACTAATATATTTGGGACAATTTATCTACAGAGTCAAAGTGATAAGGAAGAAACTACAACACATTGGCCGAACAAGAACAACTCCATGGATATCGACTAAAATGAACTCAAGAATTAGGAAGCGAAAGGTATTTAGTGTCCAGTGAATAAAATTAACCTACCATGCTTATAAAACATGAAATTAATCCCAAGATATGCGAAAGAGCAAAACCCTTTACCACACGTAAATATGGTACTGCTAAGTTGATGAATTTGTGACTAAGGACCACCAATATCAGGACTTCTTGCAGCAGAGGTGATGCAGAGACTGGAATCATTGATCTTATCAGAGATTAGACCTAAATTTTGGATTCGTTATATGGACGACACATTAGTCATCATCAAAAAGGACGAGCTGGAAAACACCAACAATCTGATCAACAACGTCTTCGATAACATAAAATTGGAAATGAAAAAGTATTCGAACAACAAACCATCAATTTTTGATCTATCATTTACCAGAACCGATAAAAGAAAACTGGAGACTTAAATGTATCGGAAGCTGGCCAACATAGGTCGAATTCTCAATCAAAGAAGCAACAGACGAAGAGCTCACAAAATCAACTGCGTACAAACTTTATTCAAGAGGGAGAGAACACACTGCAGCATACCTGCAGTGCAGAAAAGTGAAGACTATGTTTCAAAAGAACGCCTACATAACCAACGTCATCAAAAAATATAAGCACAACTCATCAACACAAGCAAAAGCAAGTACAGAAACCAGCAAACGGATCATCCTGCTATTTGTAAAAGACAAATCAAAAATTACAACGAGATCACTAAAGCCGTTTGGAATAAATTTAGCACACAAACCAGCTAAATCATTTCAATCAATCCAATGCAAACTTAAGGACAAAATGGAAAAAGAAGAAAAACCCAATATCGTCTACCGTAAAGTGTAATAGATAAACAAACCCACCAATGTCAGCATTGAACTCCCACAACCACACTAACCCTCTCTGATATTATATAACTATTCCTTGTTTATTCAGCAATCATAATTGTTGTGTTTACCGTAAACGATACTAGGTTTGCTGACTCATTTTTCCTACTCTCTAGTTACTGTTCGGTATGCTATTTATGTTGTTTTCTCCTATTTAACGGAATGCCTCATTGTCTTTTGCATACAAGTAGTGTTAATTTGCGTTTTAGAAGCAGATAAAGTTTATCAAGCCAAATATATTACTCTTTCTGACTTTTCCTAAGCTAAGACTCAGTGATTGACAGTAGTTTAGAATCTGTAGCAAATTACTTCCTACAGAAACTGAGAAAAACACTAAATCAAGTAAAGTGAACCTCCTCACTTCATCTTCTGCCCGAACATCAATTGGCATAACTTCGTTAATATCAATACATGTGAACAACTGTGGACCCACATTCAACTGGAAAGACGTCGAAATATTGAATGGAGGGGATGCTAAAATCACTAGAGAATTTCTAGAAGCTTGGCACTCAGGTCAATCAGCAAACAACATGCACATTGAAATCGATCCAATCTCTCAACCAGCCAGAAAAATTATGAACAAATATGGGACCAAGAACCATATCAAAGGGAGATGCGATCAAAATGGAGAGGTAGACAACGACAGATTAAAGGTCATCAATAAAAACCATCTTATTCATCCACTTGGACCACAAATATTCTCTATCATCTCAAAATTAGGTACATGCACAAAGATGCCATTGAAATCTTAAAATAGACATTGAATAATGGAAAAGTTTAGGATTCGCAAACACCTTACTATTAAACATTCTGTTTTAATAATCACATACACCAAAATTAAGTGGCTCTATAGAAGTATATGCACTTCGAAAACATGCAGTTAAGATAATTTATTTCAATTCCATTTAAATCTAAGAAGCTAAAATAGTAAAACTATTTTATTGGACTACTAATTACTTCATGTGAAAAATGGGCAAATATATAAAATGTACTTATTGTCTTTGTTGATAAAACATTGAGTAAATTGTAACAATTGTTGTTTTGTAAACAGAAATTAACTGTTGTTTATTATTTTAAAAGTTGAATTCATGAGTCAATTAAAGCTAGACCACTATGGAAAACCTGGAAGCACTGGACAGGTTAAGCGTTCGAGCGCGTGAGACCGTCCTAGGTTGGAATCCCGCGAACGGGATCGTTGATGTGCACTGCTGAGATGCTTCTAGGTTTTCCATGGTGGTCTAGCCTCAATTGACTCATGAATTCAACTATAAAATTACTAAAATCTCTACGAAACCTCATATTCTTGATTATTTTGATACATCTAACGTTTTAGTGCCGTGCTTCGCTAATCGTTCACCCCGATAACCCTTATAGTACAAATCTTAACGGTGCATAAAATCAGAAGGCAAAGAGAAGCGGCAACTACAGTTTTATTGATAAATGACGCAGACCAGAAAGTTATAAGCACATGAGTAAATGTCAGCGAGCGAAGTGAAAATGACACGCATTGTAGATGGCTGATAAGCCAACTCTGTTGCGTGATCGCACCAATTTCGCTTCGCGTTCGTAAGTCGGGATCGCCAAATCTGTGTAGTAGCCTAAATCTTATTCCTTTTCGATCGTATGAATGATTGTTTGTTGTCAAAAGATACGTACTGTCTATCCTCGTATGTAATAAATGACAATCCACGTCGGTGAACAACGGAGTTAAATACATCAAATACGAGAATGGATTTAGAATACATATATTTTCCACACTCATTGATCTGACTAGGGAATCAGAGTGATAAAGTGAATAGATGACAGAGAAGCAAAAATGACGCGCGCATCGGAGGTGGCGGGTAAGTTAACTCATATTAATCAAGCGTTAATCAATATTTATAGTCAGAGAAGAAAAAAAATGACAGACATGTGATAAATAGGATAACAAGTGTACACACATCTACGCTCATATAAAAAATGGTCAGGATTAATAAGTGAATAACTAACAAGGTGAAAACATGACTCATGATGGATAGGTGGATTGACTTGTCCAGAAGTTAGAATAAAGTATATGAGCCTAACATAACAACCGATACCACAACTTCAATAATCTGTATGATTATTCCAATAAACTTAGATAATGACTATGAAATGATTTGATTGTATTTTTTTTTCGAAAAAAATATTTCTACTAATTTAACCATTCATAGTAGTCTTAAAAGACTTTTTTTCTTAAAAACAACCCACTTTAAATCAATAAAGGAAGATAGTTTATTTGTTTAATCAAATCATAAGGGAATTTTAATCACAATATCTTTCAAAAATTCATTTAAAGTAATGCTTAGTATGTTTGTATTTCTGCTGGTATTTTTGTTTCATTGTATTATTTAATCAATTAAATAGAAGATTTTGGTTAGAAAACAAGTACATGTTAAGTTAAAGCGTATCATGCCATTAAGTTAAAAAGTATTATAAAGTAACTTGATTAGATTCTGAAAAGATAAAATCAAGGAGATGTAGGAAATAACAGAAATCAATAATAACTTTAATAGCTATGATTGTCAGTTGAGACAATAAAAATGGTTTTAAAAGAATAACTGACACAATAAACTCATGCAATTCAAGGATAAATATGTTCAACATAAATGAATTACAATAAAATAAATTTAAGAGTCAAAATCTTCAACTTAAATGAAAAATGTAATCCCACGAAATAACATTTAAGAGGAGAAAGAAGAAGGTAATGAGAATCGATTTTCGACAAGACGAAAAACATAATCATATATAAATTAATAATTAGCTTTTCTTTTTATCTCATTAGTGTTTGTAGACGAAAACCATAACGAAAAAAAATCAAAACAAAAACAAACAAACAAATATGTCACCTTAGTTAACGATTTAAATAGAACTAAAATGAGGGTAAAACAAATGACTAGGTTTAATCTTGGGAAATAAATTACTATATTGAAGAGCAATTCTTGTTCGGCTGAACCTATTTGGTTCTATATTATTTTCTGATGTAATATGTACTACTAAAAATGATTAAATGCTTTTTATTTCATATATGACAATATATAAGTAGTTGTGAAGCGCTACCGTTGTTAAATCCAAACAGATATTGATGTTTAAAACTCTGACACGCCTGATGATTCATTGTTAACATCTGGACGACGTCCATTAGGAAGTTTCTTCGTTGTAGTTATAAATGTACCACTACGTACTGTTCTTTGTGTATCTGACCAATTTTGAGCTGGTATAGCTTTCCATATTTGTTTCGTTTCAATTGTTGTATTAGTTGTTGGATTATTTGTTGAATAAATTGTTACTGGTCGAACAGATTGCTCTCGTCTATAACGTAAAGGCTAAAAAACAACGTGGTCAGACATAAAGACTACAAAGTAATACAATCATTGAATTTAGGACCAATCAATCAAATATTCTTTAAAGAGGATTTCAACTATCGTTTCGAGGCTCTTAACATGTTTACCTTTGTCACGAATAGAAGATATCATGATTAAGTATATAATATGAGCACCTATTCTGAATAGATGTACAGTAGAAAAGCCCCATAATCCGATTAAGAAATTATCATCAAAACGCTTTAAATCTTGTTATTCCCGATGTAAATAAGTAGTATGATTTAAATATGGGTCTGGAGACCGGGTAAAATGACTCGCATAATAATTTTGTAGCATTTATGTAAATACTAAGAGAATGAGACAACAATTAACTGGTCTGAGATAGAATAAGATATTAACAATAATAGTTAAGCGGAGGGTAGTCAGCGTTTTATTTTATTACGACAAGTTGTGGTTATTTTTATAAGAGCATCTGACTCAGAAAAGGATAAGGAAGTTGTCCTTAAGTTTACTAATCATTTCAGATTACTTGAAAAGTTCGAGATGATCGCTTTAAAGATATGCTAACGCGACAGCTTAAAGAGAAAGTTTTCTCTCATTGTTGAATGGTGTTGAACACATTAGTTTGCGTACCATGTGGAATATATGGAAGAAAGATAAGTGTGAATTGATGTCCGATCGTACACATCTATGTGAGGGTTGATTGGTTTCTAGTGACCCTCCTGACTTTCGGCGCTAAGGGATGTACTCAAAAGTTTAATCTCGGTTGTGAATAAAATGATGAAGTGTATCCAATCAGCCAGAAGCGTTAAAGTAAATGAGAATGCAAATCTTCACAATAGGCTAGGATACTGTTGTGTTATTGTATGCTATATTGGTGTTTTAATCTTACCTCGTTTTAGTTGTATTATTAATGCTATTTGGTTATCAGAATTTAGCTACGTTTCATTGGACAAAAAATAAAGGGTAATAATAGAGACGTCCAAAATTATATCTTCTGATAAAACGATTATCTGAGTTTAACAACGTAGTAAAGTGAAGCGTCTATGATGTAGCTTGGCGTACAGCTGTACTATTATCATAACTCTGGGGGCTTAATAACGAAACTACAACCGGTTTTTCGGACAGTTTTTTATCGAAAGCAAGACGGGAGTTGTATTGATACATATACTGACCAAGATGCATTCGTTTTTAGTACAAAATTAGTCATATGCATACGACGCATAATGCATATATCCGCCTCATATAGCTAGCCGATCGGTTTCGATTATCTGGCTGCATCAGTTTTGTACTGCAGATTAGCGTAATACAGTGGGATGAGTAATTTAATCCAGAAATTTATTTGTAACGATCTATCACATCTTATATGACGAACAATATTGTGATATAATGTTGCTTGACCTCAAATTATTAAGGAACTAGAACTAGACGGGGCATTTGGTGTGTGTCGTGTGATAACATCAACTAATATGTTATTTCAAATTTCCTGTTGAGCATGCTCGTATTGTTCCGTGGATCCAGAATTTTTTGGTTTGAAACCCTAGTGAAGAAATTCTCGAGAAATAACCTGCCATCATTAACATTCTCAATATATATCGTTGTTTTATATCTCTGTCATTATTATTTCTTCAATTGTAAGAATTAATTTTTGCTTGTATACTCATTGAATAGTTACTGATTCTCATGGTAATTTGTAGAATATATTCACAATGTTACACATCAATCAATTTTATTTTGTCCGATATGACTTAAATTGTTACACCATAGATTGAAGGAAAATATAATATTCAAAGCGAATATAATTAACGACTCATTTAGTAAAACACTGTCATTTTAAAATTTACGAAGCAAACAAAAAATATGATTGGAAATCCACCTGAATATCAACATGATTTGATTTATCCATATAAGCTGGATATGCTGGATAAATAGGTGAACTAGGATTCCAGTTGGGAGAGCTTTCTACTTTCTTATGTGGACTGAATACCGTAGATGCATTATCGCTAAAAGTAGAGATATATGCACAAACAAAATTTTGACAAAGTAATACCAATTTCGTTATACATTTCTTTCATATAAGACGTAAGAATGCTAAGTAGTATATCTAGTCCAAAAGGTTTTGAATGATAGTTTTGAGAGGCCTACGGAATTCAGTCTGTTGAAATCGTTTTTCGTCACAGACTGATATGAACCAGAAATCCTTCCAAAGCAAAGAGTAATAACTAGCTGTTTTATACTAGTTTGAAATCCCAAAGGGCTGATGACCCATTACTCCCCCAGGGAACAGACCAGAGTCTTTTAGGTCTCGTGGTAAGCACGCTATTTCTGAGTAGAGTTCAGTGACCCGTATTTCCAACTTAAAGTTTATTCTATCAACTGAAGCAAGGAGTACATAAAATTATTAGACTTCATGGTCTAGTACACAAATCTGTAATGGTCATTAAGCTGTATTATATATTTAGTAATATGTAATTCCAATGGCTGTCATACCGACAGAATTGACATCATTGGATGTTTCATTCTTCACGAATTGAATATATCCTCACATTTATCTAGATCCGAAAGCTAAATGCATACTCTCACAGACATATTCCATTCAAATTTATTATTTTACTGGAGCATGGACACTTTAATTTACTGCGAACAAATGGATTGATAAGATCAAATTATTTTTTTATTCACTGTATATTATTTACCAACGTCTTAGTGAGGTGTCAATATCATCCACCAAAACCCAGATTATCTGAAGTTCAATTCATAACTGCGTCGACAATGTAAAGATTTTTCTGAGAAATTATGTTACATTTCAATAAATACATTTTCGATATATGTTTGGAAGCTTTCACTGCTAAAGAAACAAAATATACTGAAAAACCTGTTTATTTCTGGGAAATTTGTTAACAATACGAAAAACAATAACAGAATTTCTCAGTGTATATCAATGTACAGTAAATAGATTTGAAATTTCAACATTTGATGACGAATTTATAGTTTTATTAGTACATTAGTGAATTCTTGATAATTAAAATTCTCCATGTGTTTTGGTCTTTGAGGGAAAATTCAGTTCCATCTACCGAGATTCAACGGTGGAAACTCAGATAAATAACTATACTATACTGATAATCAGTAAGTAGTTGAAGGGAATTAGTAGATTAATATGGATTATATTATCAAAGTATTTGTTTTACTATCCCAAATGTAAACGTTATAAGTGGAATTTTTTAGTCAATAAGGCCTTGACTGTACTACTAAGTTTCGTTTCTGTTGATCGATAAATCAGCATGATTGATTTATAAAGTGAATTATTTTCTTTGACATTTGATACCATTAACATTAGCTGATAAAAGTCATGGAGTAAAGAACAGCTGTTACTTCCTAGGTGAACAGCTAGTGGATACTATTTAGTGATGAATACCACTTTGAACTTATTTTTGGTATTAAATTTACCATCTATTGACAGTAAAAAGATTTATGGGATACTGTTTGGAAAATGCATTGATTAATTGTTCTGTTTTTTTATGGATTTGAATGCAGTTAACATGCATCTTGTTATATTTATACCACATTTATAGTATATTCTTATGTTGAGCCCTTTTGTATTTGATTATATTGTAGTTTTGTTAATAATGAAAGGTGACCTTTCTACAGAAGCGTCATTTAATTTGCTGAACGAAATATATAAACAAAGATTCTTGTTGATTGATAACAATCACGAAAATATGAAACAGTGTCCACCACGACGTTCAGTCACATGGATTAATTACCAGACTACAGATGGCGTAGTTTGATCATCACTTAGGACTGGACAAAAATGGCATTACCTAAGGTAGATGACTATCTAGAGGTTAGTAATTTGATCAAGAAATCAAAGGTTCTAGGGTAGCAACTTAATGGTAGGTTCGTGGATGCACACTGCTGCGTCTTATAACAGTATAAAAATTGTCCAGTCTTTTCTGGTTTTCAATGATTGTCTAATCATGATCAATGAATGCTCTAATCCATGAAAATTTACATTACAAAATTTCATTACTAAAAAATGACATTGATTACGACTATATGATCATTTAGATCCGAATGGCTACACGTGGACTAATCACCGTTGAATAACATCTACAACAAGAGTACTACTAAATGTTTTACATTAACGTAAGAAATAATTTGTAAGCCATAACACACGATAATCACCTATTTCAATCTTCATGGAGTCAGATCAAATGGTAACAATATAATAAATGAGAATTACTAAAAATTTTTAGACCCTTTTTTAACTCTCAGAAATTGATTTTCTAATTTAATTAGTGAAAAATCAACCAGTTACAACGGCTTATAACTGCTGCTGATATAGGGGTATTTTAAGAAATGACATGAAACCCACAGAAAAAACCTTTGCTACTCAGGAAACTTACAATTTTTCAGTGTTATTCTTCTTTTTACAAACTATGATGGAGGTTTATTAGACAAGTAAACAGATAACACCATTCAGGGGCTTAAGTAAGGAGTTCTGGCTGATGAAATGGAACTATATCATTAATAGGGATTACTACGAGTTGATTGAAATGGAATATATAGACTCTTGCATTCCAACTTAGTGATCTGAAGCTTTCTATTCTTGTCATAAAAGCTGAAAGTTCTTTCACGCTTACTACCCGGAAGTTTCAATTTCCACTTTCATGCTCATCTAGTAGTTATTACTAACTCTAGTGACTAAGTAGCAATTTGAACTCTAGCAAAAGTGACTCGACATTAAAGGTACTGTGTTTTTATTGTCTGGATGGAGTTGGTTGATATTGAACAACTAAGTTTTTTTCATACTATTTGATATTCGCAAGTACCGCATAACTTTAACCTTGAGTAAATTGAGTCTATGGTAGATTCGAACCCGTATAGAACGGTTTTTCTTTCTGAGACGGCACATGACTGACCTCCTGTCTGACTAACATTCTATATCAATTGGTCACACTGACTGAATATTGGCTGGTCACTGGGTACCAAGGACTAAACGTGCATAAAATTTTACACTACTCAGTGACCATTCTAAATATTTACTTAGATAGACAGAAATAATACAATAGAATAAGTGATCAAAACATGTTAACAAACCTGTTGTATACATTTACACGTAGAGGTTGTACAACTCTACCTGAACCACGTGATATTGAATTGTACGAATTATATGATGGGTAGACTGATGAAGGTGTAATCGGTCTAACAGGTGATGAACTTGAGTTATATTGTTTAACTGGGTAGATACGTGTTGAGTTTCCATTGTATACTCTTCCAGATGTTATGTTCCCAGTTGGATGTGATTCTTGAACATGTATGGTAGCAGAGTATTGAGGATAGTTTTGTCTATAATTAGATTTCGGTTGCACATTATTGAAATAGTTTGAAGCAGCAGGTGGATTCTGTAAGCAGTAAGTTTCAAGAAAAATTGGTTTAGGTAATGACTTTCCTCCGTATCAAAATTCTGTATAAATTAAACCAAATATTAATGCAATAACGTTTATAATTACAATCAAGCTATCCAGCAAACCTTGATGTATATATATATATATAAACTGCGGTCTACGATGAACTATGTAGCGAATCTAAGTACTAGTACGAATATTACATAGGATTAACCTTCTAAACCATGTTGTATTCGACTAAACAACCTATATTTTATGTCTCTTGATCACTGTTCATCGAGATCTATAAATTAAGTTCTCAATGGTACCATTTAACCAAATAATTACACACTTTCTTTATACTGACACTGAAGTTCGGTGGCTGGAAGTAATCACAAAAACCCTAGATTCGTAAGTCATATTTTCTATTTCCTCAATTTTGTTAATATTATCTTTCGGAAAGAATAACAAGAAATACGAGGTCTAAGTCTGAAGATATTCATTTTCCACTCTCAGTCATTGAATATTTCGTCTTGTTCTGAAATTCGATTAGTTTGTCTTTATTCCATTTAGATCAAATGATTACTCACTTCGAACGCTAACAGTTACTTACTACTTACTTACGCCTGTTACTCATAATGGAGCACAGGCCGCCAACCAGAATTTCCCAACCCACTCTGTCCTCCCCCTTCCTTTCTAGTTCGATCCAGTTCTTGTTCATTCTTCTCATGTCTGTCTCCGTTTCTCGGCGTAATGTGTTCTTTGGTCTGCATCTTCTCCTTTGGCCTTGAGGATTCCATGTGAGGGCTTGTCTTGTGACGCAGTTTGGTGATTTCCTCAAAGTGTGTCCTATCCACTTCCAGCACTTCTTCCTGATTTCTTCCTCCACTGGATGGAATCTGGTTTGTTCTATCCCATAGTAGAATGTTGCTGATAGTGTCTGGCCATCGGATTCGAAGTATCTTGCGTAGACAACTGTTAATAAACACCTGTATCTTCTGGATAATGGCTTTCGTAGTTCTCCACGTCTCCGCCCCATACAGTAGAACTGTCTTTATATTTGTATTGAAAATTCTGATCTTGGTGTTGAATGACAATTGTTCTGAGTTTCAGATGTTCTTCAGTTGTAAATATGCTGCTCTCGCTCTGCCGATCCACGTCTTCACATCTGTATCAGATCCACCGTGTTCATCGATGATGCTGCCCAGATATGTAAAGGTTTCCACATCCTCCAAAGCTTCTCCGTCAAGTGTGATTCGATTGGTGCATGTAGTGTTGTATCGGAGAGTCTTGCTTTTCGCTTTGTTTATGTTGAGACCTACTGCTGCTGAGGCTAGTGCTACACTAATCGTCTTCTATTGCATTTGTTGTTGCGTGTGTGATAGAAGAGCCAGTAGAGCTAACAGTTACTTTACTTACTTACTTTCGCCTGTTACTCCCAATGGAGCATAGGCCGCCGACCAGATTTCTCCAACCCACTCTGTCCTGGGCCTTCTTTTCTAGTTCTATCCAGGTTTTATTCATTCTTCTCATGTCTGTCTCTATTTCTCGGCGTAATGTGTTCTTTGGTCTTACTCTTCTCCTTTGACCTTCAAGATTCCATGTGAGGGCTTGTCTTGTGACGCAATTAGGTGATTTCCTCAAAGTGTGCCCAATCCACTTCCAGCTCTTCCTCCTGATTTCTTCCTCCACTGGATGGAATCTGGTTTGTTGTCTCCCACAGCAACTTGTTGCTGATAGTGTCTGGTCAGCCTATCCGAAGTATCTTGCGTAGACAACTGTTAATAAACACTTGTATCTTCTGGATAATGGCTTTCGTAGTAGAGCTAACAGTAGTGATCATTAAAAGCATTTGGATAAGAAAATTTTGAAACCAAATATAAAACGTGACTGATAAAATACTGAAATAAGTAAGGTGGTCAACTAATGATCACATATACGATTTGATATCTAGCTCAGAGAACAAAACTCCACCAAAATACTGTATTTGTACTTTTGTTCATAATGATTTCATGTCAAATGCACTACATATTACAAACAACCTAGTGGATTCTCAAGAGCAAAATACAATATGACACTGTTCATGACCTAGTAACTGAATTGCTAGAAAACTAAATCAATTTTTTTCTATTCCCCACATCTAATGAAGATGATACATGCAAACTGATTAGTACAATGTACCAGAAAACATATAAACAGTATATGTATTATGTAAAATCAGTGATATATGTAAATTACTGTATTGTTAATCTGAACAAGGTAAACAGTCACAAAATTTGATATAAATAAGTCTAATTTCTGGGTATACGGGTGAAAACATTTAAATTTGGTTACAGACATAAAATTTCTTATCTTCCTAAACAAAAGGTGCAAAAATAATCAAACTTTATCCTAAATGTCCATGAATTTAGGTCATATATCGACACATTAACTCTAACAATATATCCATAAGATAAGAAGTATATATATATATATATATATATATATATATATATATATATAGCTTTATTTAGAAAGTAGCTCTACAGATAAAAATCTATGCAAAGAATACAATGTACATTAATAACAAGGTTAGATAAGTAGTCTGATAGCAAAGTATACGGATATTTTTGTTATATCTGAAAGAAAAATAGCACACTGTACATTCTATTCTATTCTTTAGTATGCGTACAATAAAGCATGTTGTGTTATAAAGATTTGAAATAAGATTTTTCGTCTATTTTGTCCATAATTTGTTTAAGTTACACTTTTGAATAACATATAACATAATATGTGATCATACAGTGATACTGTAGTGACCCTATTCAGAAACACTGATTGTAGGTTCATCTATCACATTTATATTGTAGTGAACGAGAACACAAGCGAGAACAATAAAATGTGATGATGGAGAAGATTTGTAGCTCAGGTGGGTGATTTTGATGGATGTATCCAGCTCAGAGAACAAAACTCCATCACGATCAAATGTATTTGAACATAAAATTACAGAACAGAATAATACAGTAAATAATTCATTTGCAAAATGTCAATCAATTGTCTTAGACTTCATTTTTCTTTCGTTTCCATATCAATCATTCTTTGTTTTCGTTCTCTTTCCCTTGGTCTTCTTAACCTTCTGCCTCCCGGTATTTCATTTTTGATTGATGAAACATACTACATATATCTGTCGACATCAGTAGCGTACATCACGATATAATCACACGAAATATAATTATGAATTGTAATGTTCCTTATAAAACTAACATTTAATTGAAAAAAACAATTATTTGTTTGATATACGTACGAAGAGAGTATGTGTAATTTTAGTCTTTGCGTGTTACATTATTGACTCCATGATCTATTATGTTACACTTAATAATAAAGCATACCAATTTACTACTGTTTTTAGAAACATATACAATCAGTGAAATTCTGTATGTCGATATTTTAAAGTTAGTAAATTCATGATTTAGTAGATTCTTGATTAGTTGGAAATGAAAACTTCAATAAATATTGTTGACCGTCGAAATCCGTTTTGAATAACTTAACATCAACATTTAATATTAAATAAACCACTAGGTTTAAAACTGCTCTCAATTTTTCGGAGAGTAATTACCAGAAAATCGTACCTAGTTTGTTAATGGGATAATTAGAAAGCTATTTGAGTATCTATCACTAATTCATTATTTCATAATACATATTAAGTTACAAACCTATCACCTTTATTCTTCATAAATACCAGGAATCTTTTAACATCAGCTTTTTGAGCTATGAAATTTTGGAACTTGGTTCACTCATTAAAGTAGTAACGTATTTCTTTCATCGAACTATAGGTGACTAGGTTTTACATTGCGTAAATACACTACTTTATTAAATAACAGATTTTCCTATTGTACACAACAAATTTTCGGAATGTACTATTAGTATAATATAAACAGTTAATAATTATACGTAGCTTTGTTTTGTGAACAGCAGTTAATGTGTTCTATCAGAAAATATATTTACATCACATCTAAGTATTCCGTATTTCAGATATACGCATTATTAATGAATATTAGCAATCATATTGCTTAAATCCACTAATTCCAATTAGCTTAAATTTCAATAATGATAATTATAAGATACTTTGAAGTTATCGTATTCAAAAGAATTTATCTTACTAGTTGTCTAAATCATTCATATTCATTAAATTGTGTATCAATAAAATAATATTTGAAGCAGATATGAAAAGGATGAGTAACAACTGGAAGGAACTGGAAAGGATTGCCCGGCACAGGGTTGGATGGAGAATGCTGGTGTGCGGCCTATGCTCCTCGACCAGGGTTAACAGGCGTAAGTAAGTAAGTAAAATAATATTTATCACCAGAGATATGATTCTCACAAAAAATAATGACATCCAGTTACAGAATCAATAATTTGTTAATTTACCTGATTGTAACAAGGTGAAGGTGGTCCAGCAACGTATTGAGTGAATTGTTGTTGAAATGATTTTTCTGATGGTCCAGTAGACAAACTGAATGTTTTAGTTGTTCTTGATTTTACTGGTTCACTAGTATTAGTTGAACGATTTTCTCTAGCCCATGTTGGGGTTATTGGAGCATCCCATCCAAAGTTATTATCTGTTCCACCATATTCCGATTGAGTTTCATATCGATTATGAAAATTATTTACATCGTTTCTTTTTCTTGGCACTGGACATGAATAAAAATTTAACATAATGATTATAATCATTTCACTTCTTATAATAACGTAATTTTTCGGATCACATTAATTACTTTTTACGGATTTAAATATAACTCAAAATAATAATTATTCAAAAAATTTGAATGCTAACTATTCGAGAACTCTCTGTATGAACTGCAGATACATATTTATAGTATAAACATTTACACGTACCTATATTCTTGTTAAACTCAAAAGGCAGGAAACACTGAACCTATATATGATCTCAATTGTTGCTCATTAACAAGGCACTTTGCGAATCTTAATAAAACTGATGTTGCCTATGGATCCTGACCCACATTACTTGAAGATATTAGTGGTGATCTATTCCAACAATGATTTGCGTTCTGAAGAACTGAAATATTAATACTGTCGCACGGGTACGCCTAGCTAAAGTATGCTAACTAACATGATACAAAAGTCGAAGGCTTTTAAAAGACTACCTACAACCAGTACGTTCTTGAGTCATTTTAACTAATGGCTATTGTGTGAATTGGCTGATGTGATTTGACTAGTATATATATATATATCAACGCTTTTAAATCCTCGAATAATTGTTACAACGAAGTATTGACACAAAGATTCTTATCATTTAAAATATTATTTATATTATTGAGCAATTCTGCCCAGAAAGTTGTAAAGAAAATATTAATTCTTATTTGATATATTATGGGAATTAGTTCAAGGAAATAGAATTAAAAATTAAGCTATTCTAGTTTTGTGAATTAGATTTATCATCAACCCAACTGCGTCACAAAACAAGCCCTCACATGGAATCCTCAAGGTCAAGGGAGAAGAGGAAGATCAAAGAACACATTACGCCAAGTAACAGAAACAGATATGAGAAGAATGAACAACAGCTGGATAGAACTTAAAAGGGAGGGGGAGGACAGAGTGGGTTGAAGTATGCCGGTCGCCGACGTATGCTACATTGGCAGTGACAGACGTAAGTAAGTAAGCAAGTAAAGTAAGATTTATCATCGAAACATTATCTTTGATCGTAAATTTTCATATGGCATGATGTGATGTATTGACACCTGTATTCAAAGAAGTTCAAATATTAACAAAACTGAATAAACAAAATAAAATAATATTGAATTCATTCAAATTAAAGAGTCATTCTATTACAAATGAAAATCCAAGAAAATTATAACGTTGATATCATCTTGAAAATAAATAACAAATATTCATAAATTTCTTTTGTTTGTTTCCTTTTTTCTTTCTTCATTTTAGATGTGTCCACTGAAAGAAATTCAATTTACGCAGATAGATTTTTTTTTTTAAAAATTAAAGAAAAAAGTGTAAATGTAAATGACATTTAAAATCTTTATGTTCCCCATTGAATTATTTTAAATATCAAGTATTGACTTGCATGAATATATATAAACATCTATATATATCTATATCGCTTATTGTTTGTAAAAGACTGAATGTATTGTCATCTTCAATATCTTTTCATTGTTTACTTATACTTCGTTATACTACTTACTATATTCTATTACTAATCTATACTTATTCTTATATACATTAATCTATATTTATATTCTTGTGTATTTACATTTCATATTCTAGATATTCATATACAGATTCACTTATATTCAAAGATAAAGAAGAAAAAAGATCACAGTTTTGTTAGATGGACGATAGAATAATGAATTGTGTTTTATTTATCTCTATGTATATATCTATACCATATAAAGTATAATTGAATAAATTTAAACAAAATTATTTGATTCTTATGATAAATTGAATAAATTCAATTTACCCATTTATCATTTTGTATATAATAATAATAATATTATTATTATTATTATAAATACATGCCCTTATCTACATTATATTACTAATAGATGAACATACCTATCTATACACAAATACAAAATATAATAGGATGATTGAATAATCATTGAATATTATGATAGGTATCATATACACTTTAAAGCATTTCCTTTTCTAATCTATTTTAAATACTGTAATGTTATATAAATAGAGAAATCAATAAATTTATTTATTGATATATTGAAATATGAAGAAATTCTGGAAAAGGTAGAAATTTTCATGTATTTGGGTTGTATCATCTATGAACATGGAGTATATGATGCAGACGTAAAGGTGAGGATCGTCAAAACAAGAACAGCATTCATACAATTGAAGAATGTAAGGAAATCAAAACAACTGTCGATCAATATCAAACTGAGAATCTCCAATGCAAACGTCAAGACAGTTCTACTTTACGGAGCTCAAACTTCAAGGACTACCATAACCACCAAGAAAAATCTACAAGTATTTATAAACAATTGTCTAATCAAGATACTCAATGATCGTTGACTGGATACCATCAGTAACAGCGTACTGCGGGAGAGAACACACCAGCTTCCAGTTGAAAGGAAAATTAGGAAAAGACATTAGAAGTGTATAGGATACACATTGAGTAAATAATCAAAATGCATCATAAAGCAACCCCTAACTTGAAATCCTGAAGGGAGGCAGAAAAGAAGAATGAACACAATACATTAAGATTTAGAGGCAGATAACCAAAACAAGAATAGCTAATGGAAACAACTGTAAATGAATACCCAGGACAGAGTTGGATGGAGAATCTTGGTTAGTGGCTTATGCTCCCTCATAGGGGGTTACAAGTATAAGCAAGTAAGTAGGTGTATTGAAACATGTTATTTGTGTATAAATCAGTTATTCGTTTTCATTCGGAAAGTTATTTGATAAACATTAGTAATGTGTTTATTTTTGAGTGTTATATATTTGGATGTGTCGCTCAATTTCGTGGGTTAGTTGAAGTTAGACATTAACACCGTTGGATACCGGCTTGCTCAGTGGTCTAGAGGTTAAGCGTTCGCAAGCAAGACCGATAGGTCCTGGGTTCGAATCTCGAGAGACGAGATCGTAGATGCGCACTGCTGAGAAGTCCCACAATAGGACAAAACGGCCATCCAATGCTTCCAGGTTTTTCATGATGGTCTAGCTTCAATTGACTGATGATCTTAACTATTAAAATTGTAATGTATTTGATAATTAAAGAGTAAACAAAAACATCTCGAATCTGATTATTTAAACTTATAAGTCACCTCACTGATTGCATTTAATTTGTTTGAGGATGAATCAAATGGCTTATTAATAAGTGCATAGATGGAAAAACTGTTTGCGAATTTATGAATAAAATATAACATTAATAAGAGACTGGAGAATAACGGTTTTAATAATAATAAATGCTTTCATAGTGATTAGTGAAACATTTTAAATATCCACTCACTTTCATATTTTAAATGACATAAATATTAATAACTTATGAATTAATTTTAAGACTGTTTTCCTCATCTCATTCCTTTCTAGTATGATAATCTAATCGTCATGGTTTTCATAATACTAGTTTGGTGAAAGTACATTTTGAAACTACAGCCTACTTTTTAATTTGGAAGCAATATGACTGATATAACTTTGAGAAAACACGGTGTTAAGTAATAAATTACATTATAATGTAGTAACTATAGAGCTGTAAATTAACTAAATTAGGATAACAATGAATAGTAATCAAGTGATTTAGACTCCCAGTGCTATAAATAAACTCTTAGAATATGGACTGGTATTTCTTCTTATCAGTATTTAACATCCTTTTTCCCATAGTGATTATTTTACTTATCATGTTTTGTAATTAATGTATTTTTTAATTGATATAAAAAGAGTTAACATTTACGGTGTTAATCAATAAAATAGAATAATTATTGTTCAAGAATTAAACTCACTTGTTAATGAATGTAGATAACCTCTTTGAATACTGGGTGGTTGACCTCCACCAAGAAAAAGTTTTCGTCTTTCACGAACTGGTAAATTCATAAAACTGTAATCAACTTCTTCTGGTTCAGCATCATTATTATCCTTGGCATTGACTGGTTTCTGTTGAGGTTGCTGCTAGATCAATTAATACAGAACAAAACAAATGAATTACACAATTTCATATATATTCAATATATAAAACAATTTTTTGTTTTATTTGGATGTAAATTGTGTACCTCATTGAAAAATTTCATTTATGGAGTTGTTAGCTAAAATTATCAGGATATTTTAAACTCACGCCTATGTTAATGTCAATTTTAGTAGATTGTCATTGCCATTAAATTTAAGTAAATTCGATTTGTTTACTAAGATATATCCTCACTTTTTTCCTGTTGTTTTCCCATCCAAATTCTTTTATTAATTCTGTTCTTCAGACTCCCTCAGTTCACAAAGTATCTTTAGCCTAAACATATACCTACCTAAGACTGAATATTACAATTATTTGTGCGGGCAGTTAACGTTTTAATAAAAAACTAATTGAAATAATAAATTTTAATAGTTAAGATCATGAGTCAACTGAAACTAGACCACCATGGAAAACCAAGAGGTACTGGATGGCCGTTTCGTCCTATTGTGGGACTCCTCAGGGATGCACATCCACGATCCCACCTCATGAGGTTCAAACCCAGAACCTAACGGTCTTGCGTGCTAACGCTTAACCTCTAGGTCACTGAGCGAACCTTATATCCAACGGTATTAATGTCTTACTTCAACTAATCGACGAAATTGAGTGACATATCCACCATTGTCTTCAGTGAGTTAATATCTCTTAACAGACGTGGTTGAACACCACTGATCACTGCTTCTCACTAGAACTCCAGGAAATACCTCTTTAAGCCAGTCACTAGTGAGCATATGTTGATTAATATCAGAAGTGGTATTTTGTGGATATCTTAACTATTAAAATTAATATAATATCCACCAAAAAACCCTTCTGATATGAAATAATGAATGTCATCCTTCACTTAGTCTAAACTGACTGCAAAACAGTACAAATGACAATTATCTTGTAGAAACAAATAAGTGATCACACAGAACGTTTCTTGAGTAAAAACTATACTACGGTATCTAACTTTTCACTTTGATGATTTTAGAATACAGTTTATGTTTTTATTAATAAACTGATCAGATAACAAAACTAGTATTTGTTGTAAGATTTTCTACGTTCATTTAGTATCCTTGTAAAATCTCTAAAAAGGACTTAAACTAACTGACATTTGACAGGGAAGAGTAGTGAAATGAAATTTTATCCCAAAGGAGACATAATACACACAATAAATTATTTGCAGGTGTGTATTATCTTAGTCTGACTGGATACTGAATGGAGAGTACTAGCCTCATGATAGGCATGATACTAATCAGTCATTTAGTTCAAATTTAAGAATTTTCCAGCTTCAGTTGATTAGTAATGTGCAAGTCATCCACAAATCACCATATACAACGTTAAAAAGTATAATGTGTAGTAGACTTAAAAAATATTATGAGTAGTTGCTACATTCGCTGTTGTATACAAATTTATGAATTAGAAGCATTTCTATACACCCTGAAGCTTATGTGCAACTTCAACTAACTGAACAATATATATAACTATGAATTCAACAAGTGTCGTTTTCTAATTTATAGAATTCAGTCATTTTAAATAACAAATTATGATCTAAAAAATATTTATTTTGATAGTTTTGTTATAAGATAAAAGGATTTTATAGAAAGCATTATGGCTAAATATGTCATGTACATAAATCCGATTTCAAAAGATACAAGTTTTGTTGAAAATAAAGAAGTAAACAATGACAGGTTTAAGGTCAACAAGAACCAATCAACATTCAGGTGTACAGGACAATCTGTAGGCCATATGTGGAGAAATTCGAACACTTCACTTCTATCTGAAGTTTGTGCTGATGTCGTTCAGAAAATCGATGAAAAATCCATGACCAAACCATCCAGCTCAGAGAACAAAACTCCATCAAAATGGTTGGGAGTTATCTGTTCAAAAGCCTTTTTTTGTTGAAATAGAATTCTACTACGAAAAGTAACGTGATTTAATTCATTTAAAAAGAATTCGAATTAAATATTATTTTTAAAAACTTACTGCATATAGTCTAGAATACGGTCCAGATTGACCATAAACTGTTGTACTGGCAGCTCTTGAAAGATTTCTAGAAGCTGGCCTTGTTCCCATATACTGATTACTAAACATTGGTAAGCTGAAAAAGAATTAACATTAAAAAAACAATTCATGTTGAGCATAACAATATACTATATTAATTTTAAGATATACTTTCAAAGGTTATTTTCATCTGATAAAAATGAGTAGAAAGCAATATCTTAGGATTTTTATGAAGGATATTAGTCTTCTGATAGCCGATACGATTGTTTATAATCATGATCTGTTAAATTATAGGCTAATTTGTAATTCATTCTAAATATCTTTCTTTGTTTTAAAATCTCTTCGTGAAGACTTTCACAGTACTTCAAATGCTTTATGGTTATTCGGCCACATTGCTGTGTAAATAAAGTACATCCTTTCTAACGTTTTATACTAATTAAGTAGGTCAACGAAATGTAATAATATTTTCACTTTAGATTGTTATCTTTATTACTTTTTTATTTTGTAGTTGGTAAAATACATTGTCAACAAGAAAGGTATCACAAGTATATTACATTTACTGAACACAGAAATAGTAGAAACTGCAAAAACAAGAGAAAATGGATAAACAGCGGGCTGCGCTAACTAAGAATGCGTAAATGATAAATCCCTCTTTTGACGTATGAATTTGTATGGTCGTTAATATTTGTGGAGGAATTTCCAAAGTTTAAGGGTGAACGAACTCAGTTTTCAGTTTACTGATATACCACTATTAGTAATTTCTTTTTTAGTTCCAAATTAAAGTATAGAAAAACCTTTCCTAGAACCGCCTTATCCAATCCTAAAAAATGTCTTCACAGATAACTATGAATCAAAAGAACAAGACTATGTATTCAAAACAACAATTGATTACCTGTATTTATAATAAATGTTTTTATTTTAGGAATGAAATACGTTAGTGCTTAGCGATTTCTACATCTTGACATATAATTATAGTTTATAAACTTTGCATGATCTCTATTTTCTTATAATGAGTAACTTATAGTAAAGTATAAAAAGCCAATTAGTATGAGGAAGATAGAAGTGTCAAATTAATGATCTTATGATTTGGCATATCAATTCGAACTTATCAATAAACATTTACATATAGTTATTTTCAGTATAAATTGGCTACATTTACTATCAGCAACATTCTACTGTGGCAGAGAACAAACCAGATTTAAGCGGAGGAAGAAATCAGGAAGAAGTGCTGGAATTAGTTAGGACACATACTGAGGAAATCAGTCGACGGAGTCACAGGGCAAGCCCTCACTTAGAAACATTAAGGTCAAAGGAGAAGAGGAAGACCAAAGAACACATGATGCCAAGAAATGGAGACAAACATGAGAAGAATGAACAACAATTGGATAGAACTAGAAAAGAATGCCCAGGACAGAATGTGTTGAAGAATGCTGGTAGGCGGTCTATGCCCCATCGGGTGCAACAGGCGTACGTAAGCAAGGTTACATTTAAAATAACAATATTTGACCATCAAACATATCAAATGGATCAAAGAAATAACTGCGAAATTTTCAAATACATTATACTAACCATTGTCAATAATCAAAAAAATGAAAATTAGTATAATTTCTTACTTGTTTAACATAACTAACAAAATTTCATATTGTGTTAAGTGCCTTTTTAATGTTTTCTAAAGACCATAACAAGAGATAGATTATTGTGAATGGTAACTACCGAAGTAATGTACAAAGCAACTACTACTACATGAATGCAAGAATAAATAACTTTCTCTTTTAAACTGAAAATGCACTGTATTCAATATAATCTCAATGAAACCATAAATTAGTTGAATACAAGTAGAAAGTAGTTTATTATCAGTCATATATAGCTCTTATTTTACTAAAATAGAAAAGTGCTAACTCATTATTTATCCAATGGTTAGAAAACTAATTCTTTCTTTTAAATGTCCATTATAGGGATTAACTAAGTTATGATGGAATGTGTACAAAAATAGTTCATTGTTCCAATTGAGTGTTTAAGATTATTTATGTCATTTGAAAACAATTAGGCCATTTCAACAATATTTGTTTTCTAGAATAATTCATCTGACTTACTTTCTACACTAAACGTCTGCGCAACTTAACGAGCTCATCTTGTTGGTTGTAACAAGTAATTGTACTATTTAGGCCTGTGGATTACGACCAATGAGCCTCAGATTACCATTGGCCTGAGATTAGGGGGTCAGTAAACTTCTCTCACATAAAATAATTCTTTTTTTTTTAATTATAAAGGAGGTTGTGAGTGTCAACCTTTTATGGTTTAGGACAATGAGAATATTTTTCGATCTGCCATCTCTGTAGATGCCTTTATGGTAGAATATATCACTCACAATGAGAACTTATAGTAGAGATCAACATTTTTTGTGTTAAATGCTTCAGTAATTTAGGTCCTATCTCTATTTACTTTTCTTGGTATGTCATCACAAGAATAAACCATAATTGCCCATAGTTTATTCCAGTCTAATAACTGAAGTTTTAAGCATTTTAGACAACTAGAACTGGCACTATTTACAGCATTTTTTCTAGGTTATTTAATTGTTGTCTAAGTGTTTATAGTTTCTAAATGAAAAAAACCCAAAAACTCTATGTTAAGTAGTGGAATCTCAAACGAGGATTAAACAAGTTTCTAATTTTCGTAGTTGAATTCATGAGTCAATTGAAACTAGACAATCATGGAAAACCTGGAAGCACTGGACGGCCATTTCGTTTTATTGTGGGACTCCTCAGTAGTGCGCATCAACGATCCCGCCTCGCGAGTTTCAAACTCAGGACCTACCAGTCTCGCACCAGAGCACTTAACCGTTAGATCACTGAGCCGGCATCCAACGGTGTTAATGTCTAACTTCACTGATCCCTCATATAACGCTGAACTTATTAAAACCTGGAAAACATTTTTTTTTAAATCAATGAAGTCTTCTAACAACGGATTTCATTGTTAAATCATAAATTGAATTGATGTTTTCATCTTATTTATTTATTTATGATACTTGTCATAAATGTGCAGGTTGTATTATATTTGTTCAATAAAATATATATAATAAGTTTTCTCTTTACTTACCGTCGAATTCCAAGTCGTAGATAATTACTTTTCAATTCAGCAAGTGAATGAGATTCTTCTTCTGTTAATTCAGTACCTAAATGACCTTCAATTTCTAGAACTTCGTCTCCAATGTCAAGCCAACCAAAAGCTGGAGACCAAGGATATACCTAGAAAGTAATAATAAACACTTGATACAAAGACGATGTTAAATTTCATTTTATGAAAATTTATCCATCTAATTACAGGTATTTATTGAACTACAGTTAGTTTTGTAATCCGAATATTTTTAATCAGGTATGCTCGAAAAATTTGATTTTATCTGTTGAAGTGATTGAACAATTACATAATTGTGTAATAAATACTTATGAATAAAATAAATAAACCTGATTAGTTTTTATATTTAATTCTTATTCTCGCTAAACCAGAATATTTGCTATAACTGAGTGTCTTAAACATAAATGGCTGAATATTTAGTATAATTTTTTATGTTCATTCAGTTATCAAAAAGATACACCTTTTGCGTACATATTTTTCAGCTAAGGAATTATATTTAAGTTAGTTATTATTCGGCTGAAATATTATGGTTTTAGTTACAACTGAGTGGTTTTATTCATTGGCAATCTCCCTTCAAGTTCCGTATATCCGGTAATCTTATGTGTTGTTCTTCTAAACTATCTTTGTATTTATTTCCTTCCGTCAAGGGACTTTTAGAGAGTTTGATATTGCGTAAATAAGGATCTCATCACAAAATCTTATATCACTAGAAATAATCTTAAGGATAAATAATTTTGAGGTAAAACTATTGCAAAGATATAGCGTGGATCTGCAACTTTGTAAAAACAAGTATATTGAGTGTTAAGCGTTAAGTATCCAATAATGCTAAATGATACTCGGGTTACTTTTCTAGTCAACCAAAGTATTTGATAAATATACACTCATCATAGTTATAAACGCCATAAATTTTGGATATCATATCATGATTTTGTGTAGAAGAGTCAATAGTCAATATCAGTGTTATATCCCGTGGAGATTTATGTACGGTAAGTTTGAGAACTATTTATGGACTAATGTGATGTGTATATTTCTTATTGTATAATTGTTACGCAACCAAACTATTCATATTCGTGTCCCTCTTATTATAAGCTTTATTTTGACCCATAGACTATTACTGCACGATTTACCGTTCCTGAGTTATACCCAGTCTATTGATTACTGTTCACCCTATTCATAGACACATTTGGTCAAATCTTGTAGAAATTTTATTTCCTATTTTATGGTACGATGTGGTCCGTCCGTTTGGTATATAAACTCAATATGTTTGAAATAAACGATTCACAATGTAGATGCTGTTATTGGTGTCCTGGACTTAACTGTCTGGGCTAGGCAGATAGCAGTGTGGTGTGGTCTACTTATATCCATATAAGTAGTATATGGTGTGGGTCAGACATAGAATGTATTTTTGCAGAAGACCAATGAGGAAAGAACTGAAATGAAGCGCAATCGTTTGGAAAATGCATGAGCAATGGAATTAGAGAAGAAACAGTGCAGATTGAAACAATTGGTTGTTAATTTGCAAATTGACTGTTCATTGTTTGGTTATCAGAATTTACCGAGACAGTCTGTAATCTTTGTTTAAATACATTCGATTTTCCCCAACCAATGTTCTGTTCACTACAGCAGGACTGATAAGTACTCAAGACTGTTCATACGGATTTTCGTGTACATTACTCTGATCGATAATTCACTCCTCTCTGATTGGCGGGAATCAACACGTTCATATATATCAACTGAGCAATCATACACTCAGGCAATCGATATAACAGGAAGTCTCATACTGGAAAAAATCAATATTTTCTGGGTTTTATTTAGTCTTCCTGTAATGTCATTATGTACTGTAAATTACCTTCATATCATAATACGTCATAGAATAGACCTAACAAACTTTTAAAACTAACTTCTATCCTATAATGTCAATGTTAATCAGTTAGTAAATTACGTCTTTCTAGTTAATATCAAGATTTAACAGTAATCTTATGATATAAATTTATAGGTAGATCAATAATATTTATACCATGCAAGCCAAAATAAATTACATATGTACACTTACACATGAATATGTAATCTCCACTTATAGATTGAAATTATTTTTATTTTTGTGACTTTGGAAGGGATACCTTTCCTTCATTTTTTTTAAAAAAAAGGTATTTCCATTTAAAACATTATGTCGATTTATATACATGTGCCTACATTACCTAGATGTACTTATACATTAAAGGTTAATTTACTTTAGATAATCTACTTTTCCTATGAATACAAAACGTATACATTATTACTAATTTTTTTTAGTAATATGGGACTGTAGTTACTGTTATATGATCTAAGTATGAAGATTGATTTTTCTGTGATATTTTGTAGTTATCTATTTCAATCTAAATTAGTGGTATGTTTATTTTATCATTCCAAAGATGTGATTAAAACCGCTTTAAAAAGGGAAACAAAATGAACAAATAAAATGTGTTGGATTTTGTTTTTATTCATTAAAAAAAAAACAAAGATTAAAAAAATGTGTCCATTTTAAATCAATGAAATTGTTAACCAGTTGTAGTTTGAATTTTTCTTGGAAAGAAAAATGATGTTTTCACTGTTGGTCAATTTCTGTGTTATTCGATTCGAAATTAATTATTAAGCTTATTCGATACAACACGGCATGCACCAATCGAATCACACTTGACGGAGAAGCTTTGGAGGATGTGAAAATCTTTATATATCTGGACAGCAACATTGATGAACACGGTGGATCTAATGCAGATGTGAGAGGGTGGATCGGCAAAGCAAGAGCAGCATATTTACAACTGAATAACATTTGCAACTTAAAACAATTGTCAATCAACACCAAGAACAGAATTTTCGATACAAATGTAAAGACAGTTCTAATGTATGGGGGGGAATCCTGAAGAACTACGAAAGCCATTATCCAGAAGATACTGGTGTTTATTAACAGTTGTCTACGCAAGATACTTCGAATCCGATGGCCAGACACTATCAGCAACAAGTTGCTGTGGGAGACAACAAACCAGATTCCATCTGTTGGAGGAAGAAATCAGGAAGAAGCGATGGAAGTGGATTGGGCGCACCTTGAGGAAATCACCTAATTGCGTCATAAGACAAGCCCTCACATGGAATCCTGAAGGTCAAAGGAGAAGAGGAAGACCAAAGAACACATGACGCCAAGAAATGGAGGCAGACATGAGAAGAATGAACAACAATTGGATAGAACTAGAGAGGAAGAAGGAGGACAGAGTGGGTTGGAAAATGCTGGTCGGCGGTATATGCTATTTTAGGAGTAACAGATGTAAGTAAGTAGGTTTCACAACTCATCCACGTAAACATTGGTAAATTAATGAGGATGATATAATCTTATTATCTGAATTTCTTTTTCACAAGTTCTTAAACGATATTAAATTATAGCAACTATCCTACAACCAATTTCGATCATGACTAATTTTGGTTAAGCCCTTTTTTTAACTTATTTAACAGACAATGTCATTGAAATAATAATAGTTCGCATATTTCTTTGTACTGTTATTATCACTAGAGCACATGAAAGACCTTAGCTAAAATATTAATTGCTTAAATATCACTCCACGATTCATCCTCCTCCCCATATATGTAATCACTGAAATCCTACAATTAGCTTTTGCTTTGTCTTGTTGCGATCTTATACAATTCGACTTTAAATTTGCCCATGTAACTGCTCTTATACACGTATTCGCCTCTCCACTTCAAATTTGCTATATGTGCTAATAGATTTGTGGCTTGAAATATCCGCTAATAAACTGCAGTCGCCGTTTCTCTTTTTAATTCTGATTTCAAACACCGTTGAGATTTATATTATCACGGTTATCGAGATGAACGATTCACGAAGCAAAGCCACTACAAATTCAGCTTAATTTATAATGATTTGGCATGTTTTGTTGCAATATTTTAACGGAAGTGTTATCTGCTTTGGTCGGAACTTTTATAACCAGTGCAGATTGTCTTGACATAGCTATGATGAAACAAGTTTTTTATAGAGTAGATGTATAGAATGTAAGCGTATTTAACTGATAAGTCCCAGACAGGTCCTAGATTTTGTTGTTAGCTACATTCCATCTATTTTATGTAAGTACCAATTTAACGTTATCATGTAGAGTGATAATACAGTAGGTCTAGTTGGTTTATAAAAAAGCATCTCTAAGTGCGAAATAGTGGGAAGTACCAATTGTGCTGATTACGCAATAATTCTTTCATGTGTATATTCTGGACGAGAAATGAAATTAATGTAAATGTACCAGAAAACGAATTATTGGTTAAGTGTAGAATATGCTCTTTATTGGTGGCTGGCTAGAATCTTGTATTGGTTTGATCATTAACGAACTTTTTACTCAAAGGCAATACATAAACTAAAATTCTGTTCAAGTTTTTATTGATAAATAATATTTTTGAGTTGCCTTTGACTTTAATCTTCAGTTATAAGGAAAACTTGATGATGACTAACTTTCGTCGTGACTAATTTTACATGAACTAGATAAGGATTGACAATAGTATACGTAAAAGAGAACTTAGAATAATGAAAAGCCGAAAGATAAGGTTAAGGTTACGTTTGTCGAATGGTTTGGAATACTGTATTCATCTGAATCAATTATTGCAATGTATAGATAAGGAAAAGTATGTAGAGAAACCAGTCTGCTAAAAGACTACATTTTTAAAAATATGCATAACCGCTTTCCCATGTATACTGAAATATATTCGAAAGACAGTATGAGTAATCATGTATCGGAATCCTTATCAAATTAAGCAAACTACAGATATGAGAAAAAAAACGATTTCAATGGTATAATCTCAGAGGTATAAAGAAAATTAAAAATCTGGTATAGCGACATCTCAGTATGCAGCAGTGTTGATAGAGTTGTCTAACACGAGATGATCTGCCAGTCACACTGTTTTTCAGAATGCTATTAGACAAGTTAAATTCATTACTTTCATAAATATGAGTCAAACTATCTAGTAGAAAAACTAGTATATTAACAGAAAGTATTTTATCTTGTGAAAATCATTTACTGCCAATAAATCTAGGATGTTTAGGCTAAGTGAACCCACAAAAGAAATTAGGTTACTGATTAGAAAACTGATACATTTCGGAAGTAAGACAATAACTCACTAATGATATTGAATGAAAATCATGATGTATCATTTAAAAAACTAGTAATCCAGCTTAGTGGTCACTCCAATCATTTGAATATCTTTTTGTACTTGGATAGCGTTAAGAAGTCTTACGCTAGAAAAAACAAATTGCCTATTGCTCTCTGGTTCGTACTAATTTTTTTCATTATGTCAGCTTTTCGTGAAAATCATAGTAGATCTCCATCGAACCTCAAAATTATAAAAGTATCGATGTTATTATGTAAGGATGAGGAATCTCTATCAGTCATGCAGGGACTTTAGTTTAATAGAAATTAGCATAAAGCAAAAAAAATTATTAAAATTAACTACTACTGTAAAGACGGTGTAATGACGGTGTGTCGAATGTCTTAATTTATGTATCACAAAGGGAACTAATAAGTGGTGAAAAACCACCAACAGGTGAATGTTAGTTTGTAGAAGTAGTAAATAGATTCACTAAGGATATTTTCTTATTATGGAAAAATGGTTTTGTATACCATGGTGACCTTCAGTCACTCAAGGTCACTCCTTCAGCTAACCACTAAATTTCCATTTTAAAAGAGTAAAAGAATTTATTGAACAAACTTATTTCCTGACATAATAACGCCAATAACTGTTTTTCTATTTTTAACCAAACTTGGATAAAAACTGGGACACATATTTTACATCAAACAGTAGTTAGCATCAATTCAGCTTTATGTGAATAATAAGCTACCTGGTTGTTGGATTTACATAAAAAGCACTCAGTTGTGTTGTTATATCGACTTATTCTCTGAAATAACTATCATTTGCCGAGTTTATTCACTAAATATATACTTCAGTGATCCTAGCCGTAAAATTATTTATTATATGTGGCAAACAAACAGCTAATGAACGATGTATGGTAAACTGTTTAATATATGAACGTTTAAATTCTAACAAAACGCTAGTCTACAATAGACTTCTAGAAATCAGACATTACTGAGAAATCTTTTCATAGGCCCACAGTAATAGTAATTACTGAAATAATTTATGAAATCGTTCCAGTTACATGATATCCTATACAACTGATTACTATCTTCGAATTGCCTGAAACATAATGAATAATAAATTAGGGTTGGCTTGAGAGTGTCAATCAAATCCCCACGAATTATGATATGTATTTGTAAGAAAATAATAATAATTGTTAACATTCTACACTATATTTGTAGTTGGGGGAGTTAGGTAATTTTTTCTTATTATAAAGAAATCGATATCAGGGAATTACTAGTAAGTTAAATCATTCAAAGTATACAATGGTCGAAAAAAAGAAACATAATGTACATCTTAAACGTATTTTCACATATATTATTCAAGCATTTATCCCTCATATCGATTTCAGTCTTAACACAGAACGATTAATAAGATTCATGATGAATTGTATTGTTGAATTATTCCAAGACTCAGTTCATATGAATGAAACATGTTGCTTGAAAGTTTTTACTAGTAATTATTGTCGAAACAAAATTTGTTCAAGTTCATAAAAGTATGGATATTTTACCTATAATATAATTACCTGCTAAGATATACTGTTTTACGACATGAAATAATTGCATTTATTTGTTATTGAAGTTTGATAATGACTAGAAATGGAATCCAGAACACGGGTTTCATTCTCTTTAGGATGTTCTTTTTAAGATTCGTTCACTGGACTCACATACACTTCACTGTTGATGTTCACACTAGTTTTACTTCAAATGCTAACGCGTTATCCACTGAGCCACTGATTCCAGACATCTGCAAGCTTATTCAATAGGTATGAATTTTATTTACAAGGGTTTGTATATTCTCGTTTTTCATGGTATTCATTGTACTCGATAATTCCTGAGAGAATGGCACTGATATTACCATCTAAGTGCAAATTTTTACTGAAGTTAACGTAATTTCGAACTCATACTTCATCGTGTTTCATATTCTTTAAATCTGTGGAAATAACTACATATAATGTTATTACTGTACATTAGTTTTACTAGTTATCATAATCGAATATGTTCATCCCAAATTTGATTAACAAGCTTAGATCAACCCTGATCACTTTATTAATTTAACAGTTAGCATTTCATGTTCTATCAGTGTACATCATCTGAATATCATGGGATTAGTAAAAGTGATTGATTTAAAGCTGAAACGATGTAAATTATAGGTAAAATTAACTGATATTTAAAGTCACTGTGTTATTACATACACAGTCTTGTACAAAAAATACCATGTGCCAAACGGTTTTCGGTAATTTAGTTAACAGTTGTTATATATTATGAACTTGTTTTACATATTACAAAAGACAATAATGAATTCATTGTCCTCATGATGAATCTATTTAAATTTCACATACATATACATACCGTAAAAGTAAATATATGCCTAAAAAAACAATGAACATAATTGTATTGTTTATTCTAATAGCACCAAGAGAGTAACTAACAGGATAAAAGAGGGTGATCTGAATTGGAAGGAATTAGAACTTGTTTGTTTACAACGTAATGAATAATAACATTACATAATAATAATAATCATTGCCACGTGACCGAGTACCTCACTTATATTTGTACGCATTTGTAGTTTTACAAGTAAAAATTAATAGGGAATAATGTTTGTTTAGAGGAACAAAAATATTTCACTCATCCAACTATTTGAAATACTAATCGGTCCTTCGTATTTGTCTTATTATAATAAGAACATATAAATTGAAAGATATAATTATTTGATAGATATATAAAGTTGCATTTTCCGGTTGTTTCAATCGTATCCCGTCGTACAAAGTAAAAAATAGAATGTTATTAAACAAATTTTGTTATCAGATCTTTCAAAGTAGTTCATTACCATATTTTAGCCACAGTTTCTTATTCATTTTGGTTCATTAATAGGTTTTTCCAGAAATATCAGCGAAGTTAGTGCCTCAGAAATAGTGAAGATGTATTAAGTTTTCAAAATAGTAGACTTAACTGCTTCGTGTACAAAATATTAGTGTTTCAATTCAAAACTTCTTAAGGATACTATTAATTTAGGTAACAGCTTAGCATGGATTATTATCAACTGAAGAACCGTTGAAAAATGGGAAATGTTAAATTAACATTTTGTGTTAGTTTTGTAACGACTTTACTCTGCATCAAACTTGAAACTCATATCACATGATCAGCATAATGTCCTTAGACTAGTGAGTTATAATTAGAAATAATAACTGGTCAATTTTAACTATACTTAGTGTAAGGTAGCTTATTCATAGATATAATGTGGCCAACATAAGCCATATCACAAATAAATGGTTATTCGAATACCTAACAACGTATTATTGTGTTACGGTCTGTGAAGAAAATTAATTTGCTATACTCTTTACATGGATTTATTGTGATAGTTACTTCTACTAAATACACCGTTGCATGCCGGCTCAGTGGTCTAGAAGGTAAGCGCTCGCGCGCGAAACCGATATGTCCTAGGTTCGAGTCTCGCAGGACGAGATCGTGGATGCGCACTGCTGAGGAGTCTCACAATAGGACAAAGGAACTTAATAGCCAAAGAAGGATATACTGAAATAAACCTTCAGTTTTTAAGTTTCATAGCAAACGTAATAATTGTAATCCCTAGATTAGTTGATAATCCAATGATCTATATATTTAGTTCGACAATAATATACTACTGTAGCAACTATGATAGAAATAATTACTAATTTTAACTATCAGTGGTGAGGTAAAATGAAATGTGTACCTTGAGATGGTGGAGAAGATTTGTAGCTCAGGTGGGTGGAGTTTTGTTCTCTGAGCTGGATGGTCTGATCGTGAAGTTTACATTGTTCTTCTGAACGACATCATCAGCACAAACTTCAGGTAGAAGTGAAGTGTTCGGATTTCTCCACACGCGGTTCACAGCTTGTCCTGTACACCTTGATACAGAAACATAGGAACAAAGATCAAACCAATGGGAGATACAACCAAAACAAAGAAGTAAACAATGACAGAATTAAGGTCAACAAGAACCAATCAACATTGAGGTGTACAGGACAAGCTATGAACCACATGCGGAGAAATTCAAATACTTCACTTCAACCTGAAGTTTGTGCTGATGTCGTTCAGAAGGACAATGAAAGCTCCGTGAACAAACCATCCAGCTCAGAGAACAAAACTCCATCAAAATGTGTAGTTTCATAGAAGTAACTAAATATTTATTCATTATAATAATAATTTTGAATAATAAAATTCTTGGTTGGTATATATTAGAATAAAATTTTGTTTTTATGTCATTAATTAAGTAAAAAGATAATTTAATAGTAAAATATTGAAATTATTTTGTTTAAATTCAATAGGACAAAATGTTAAATTAACTTTCGGTAAATTTGGTATATTAGGTATATTTTACAAAGTTAAGGCGGGATCATGGACGCGCACTGTTGAGGAGTCCCACAATAGGACGAAACGGCCGTCCACTTCTTCCAGGTTTTCCATGGTAGTCTAGCTTCGGTTGACTGATGATCCCAACTATTGAAACATTTAAGTATTCTAGAAATATTTAAGTATCACATTTTTATAATAGAATAGGCTTGAAAGTTATTTTTTGTCAGATCTGTAAATTATGTTCGAACTAGGAATGCAAACTAACCATTCGTTTATGAATCAAATACAAATTGAAAGATACTGTATATTAAAGACTAAGTAATTAGAGATTGAACCAACTTTAATTGTCAACTGGTTTGATTGTAAATACATTGAAATATTACTGGACAAAAAAATAAGGATTAAAAATCAATCTTTTCTTCTGTTATTAATGATCCTGTCACAAACATTCCCTGGTTGAAGTAACTTCATGAAAGTAGCTAGTATGAATTGTTAATACCTATTTCGAAATTACTTGTAACAGAATTAAACATAATAAACAGAGGTAAAATGAAGTATTCATAATGAAATTGATTTTTTTCAGTAAAGGCTGTTAAAATTTAGAAAATGTCTTTTTAAAAGTTAGAAATATGAAAATAAAATTCGCCTGTAACACTTCCAAAGTTACTGCCGGTCCCAAGAATTGGGTATGAAGCCATAGAAAACAACATTACTAAGAAAACGATTATCAGGAAAAATCTAATAAAACCATTTAAACTCTACCCTGGGAGTTGAGAGACCTACACTTGAAAGAATTATAACGTCTCATGGTCAAAGTCAACATTCTTTTAAAGTCACCTGACCGATGCTCCTTCTAACAACCAGAGCAACAATTAATGTAGGTACATGGAATAAAAGGGGAACTGAAACTTTTAGAAGTACTACAACCATCATCAAAGACGTACAAATATTTATAAATAGTTGTTTACGCAAGATTCTCAATGTCCTTCAGTCGGATACCAACAGCAACAGCCTACTGTGGGAGAAAACAAACCAGCTTCCAGTTCAAGAGAAAATTAGGAAAAGACATTAGAAGTGGATAGGACATACATTGAGGAAATCATTAAACTGTATCACGAAGCAACCCCTAACTTGGAATCGCAAAGGGAAGCGGAAAAGAGGAAGACCAAATAACACATTGTGTCAGGAATTGTAAGCAGACATCAATGAAATGAATAGCAACTGGAAAGAACTGGAAAGGAATTCTTAGGAAAAATTTAGATGAAAGATGTTGGACCTCGCTTAGTTACTATTGTCTATAGCCAGATAATCAATCAATATAGCTAAATATATAATGTATCTTTGTATAATGCGAAAAAATATTAGCAAAAGGCCAAAGGTTTACGTTAATTACATAATTATCAGAAGGGGTTTTGTGGAGATTTAATATTTTTCATAGTTGAAAGCAATAGTCAATTGGTCTAGCTTCAATTGACTGATGCTTTCAACTATGAATAATTACATAAATTCATTTACTATACACATTGTACGATAATTTGGCAGTTAAACTCTAACTGTAAATCTGGGTAGGAAAGTATACATACAAAACAGAGCAATCGAGGTAATTTTAACTAGTCTCCATTATGAAAGCTTGTCGTATAACAAAGTATACTACTGTCAATAGTATTCAACTGTTTTTGTGGGTTAATGACATATTCCATCAACACATGCTTTATAAATCAGTTTATTGTGATAAGATGACCATGACTCATCAATTCTTTAAGACTTTAGGAATTAGTTCAATTATTAGTCTTGTTTTTCAATTGTAAACAGTTGTATTGGTCATATTTCAATATCATACTAGTAAAATCATTTTGTTACTGTTTTGAAAAAGGTTTACTTAACCATAGATCTATGTATTGCTGTGAAGATTTATCTGTAAACAAAATCGAATTAGACATTGATTATTTAAGGAATGACATAACACTAATAAAACTTGAATACAAAGTATTCATGTTAATGTTATTGTGTTAGTTAACGATAAATAAACAAGTCATGTTTACAGATCGAGGAAAAAAACAAACATTGGAAGCCAAAAACAATTTATATAACTTACTAAGTAAAAATATTTTACGATATCATATCAATTACATTATTGCCCTAGTAATGTTGTATATAACAACAGAATTAAATAATAAAACTCACTTAGTATTGTTTGTTTGAATCTTCCCATTGATGTTTAGGACTGCAAATGGTCAGTCTCTAATAGGCATATGTGCATACTGTGCCTATTGCCTCAATAAAGCGTTATTTCAAAAGCGTTGTAAGCAAAGATGGATAGTGGATGGCAGTGAAATCCAGGACGCCCGTTTCGTCCTTAATAGCTAAGTCGATAACGCGATGACGTTTGAAGCCAAAGGTGTTGGATTCGAGTCCCAGAGTGAACATCAACTCCGAAATGCAGGTACATCCAGCTGAGGAGTCCCAAATAGGACGAAACGCGCGTCCTGGATTCCACTGCTAGCCACTATCCATCTTTTCTTATAGATAATAAAACATGAAAATTGTACTTCGCAGTTAACATTATTAGAAGTGACTAGAATTGATAATCCACCCAGACAATCTATTCATTGCTCGTTAAGATAAATACGTTCACATGTCAACTAATCAAATCAATTATGCTATTGTTAGAAAGAGGTTTTGTGGATATTATAGTAATTTAATAGTTGAGTCTATGAGTTAAATGAAGCTAGATCACCGTAGAAAACCTGGAAGCACTAGACGGCCGTTTCGTCCAATTATGGGACTCCTCAGCAGTGCGTATCCACGGTCCCGACCCACAAGATTCGAACCCAATAAATTATAACCTTGTTTGTTTATTGGTAATATGATATTTAAAGTATTTGGTGTAAAGTCAACACAGTGTAAAGTAGCTTCATATCTTCATTCACAATGGCCTTGAAGTTGACTATATTGGGGACTATGTAATAGACTAACTGTGTATTTTTCAACTTAATATGGTCCTGAAGAAATGTGTTCTAACACTTGTATCACTCTATCTATAATAACTAGATTGAAGGTTCAAACATTTTTCTGACTGCTACTAACACTTGTATTCATTCTGTTCAATACACAAGATATTTTGCTTATTATTGAGCAGTTGATTGTTAAACTGTATTCAACATTTCATAAAACAAATCTTGAGGTTATGAAATCATGTGCAGTTGTTGAAAAAGAACTTTCTATGATTTAATCACATATCTGCAGGCCAGTACACATACACATGAGCAAATATTATGAAACAAATCGTAGCACTATGGTTTATAAATCATTAAACTACTTATACTTAGCAAATAAGTAGTATAAACAACCCTCTATGTTATTACTTAACATTATCATTTAAAATGATATTGCAACTTTGATAGCATCTTTCCAGATAATACAGAGTTGTTCGTTAGACTGTAAAACAAATACGTCAACATTTTGTTTAACTTGAATTACTGTTCAATACCATTACAATGAATGAAAATATGACCAATAGATTTACCTAAATTTTAAAAGATGACTTTGTTCTGTAGTTTGAATAACTAATATTTGAAAGGACATTGCTGAACAGTGTGTCGAAGAAAAAAAGGATTTATAATGATCTAATTAGACTTGATTAATTAAATTTACTTTAGGACAGTATTTTTAACACATTAAAATAGCTTATATAAGTACTACATTACCTTCAACTGTCAATGGGTTCGTTTTTAAAAGATTGTAAAGTTATTTTTACAATATCTAAATGAACTTTCAGCCCACGTTAATCTGTATTGAAATTAATGAAAAATGTGCAAAAATTCCTAACAGGAAAATCATTCAATATTACAAATGGCTGGTTTAAAACTAACAAATGTTAGCTACATTTTTTTGGGAAGAAAGGGGTTTAAATATACAGGTCATTTGTTTTGTCAATTTTCATGATGTTTAGCGTACATATATATAACTAATCAATTTCTTGAAATCAAAAATGCCATTAACCTCAAGTATGTGCATATAACTACAACCATTTGTTCACAACGAAAAGGATGTTTTTTAAACTTGAATTAAAATATAGGTAGAGATGATGGTGCCTAACAGTAGAATCTAGGAAGCACATTTCTTTCTATTTGCGGCTCATCAGCTAT